GCTCCGCTGCGCGGGCGGCATGCAAGGCTTCGCGGGCCGTTGGGGGGCGTGGAGGGCTCGGTGCAACGCCGCCAGGTAGTCGGGGCCACACCGCCACACCGCCCGAGGGAGAACCTCGGTGGCTGCCTAGCGCATCGACCTGGACGACCCAGCTCGGCCGGAGCTCGCCCACTGGGAGTTCAGATCTGAGATTTCGGCGCTGAAGGTCGGGGACGCAGCCCTGGGGGTCTGCAGTCTGTCATTCGCTCTGCCTTGTGCAGCTGTGTGGGCGGGGGGGGGGGCGCGGGAATCCAGGCGTGGTCCAGCTTTCCACCCCTGCCCCACGCCGGACGCGCAGGTGGCCCCCGGGATTGTCGCCTGCTGCAAATCGAAAGACGGCTGACGTTTCGCAGAGGTGCTACCATGGACCAAAAAGTAAATAAAATGTTTTGTTGTGAAGAAAGCATTCCTTCTCTTTTGTCTCATTCTACCCCTGGTGCTACAAAAATTAAAACTTCAAGATTTCCTGTAATACCTTGTTCACATCCTGAACCCGCCCGTGTGCCCTTCCTCCCTCCAGCTGGCTAGAGAGAGACAGCAAGGGCCAGGCTCCCTGCACATTTTGATCATTTTCTTTCTGCTGTCTTGGGAAGATAGAAGTCCACAGAACCACAGAGAACACGTTTGGAAAAGGAGCCAGCGCTGTGCCAGAAAGTGTTCGATCAAGTCATCTTCGGCCAGGTCTTGGCGCTCCCCGGATCAGATGCTCCTAGCTGCACGTCCCTCTTCCTGGCAGTCAGGTGACAGGCCAGGTTCCCAGTCCCCGCCCCTGCAGTGCCCAGGTTGTCCAGCGCGGTGATCGGAACCCTTCCGGAACCCTTCCTTTCGCTGGAGTCCGAGAGAAGACTCTTTTGGATGGGAAAGCAACGTTTACGTGTCAGTGGTTTTCGATCTTTTCTCACCCTAGTTGAGCTGCTGTATCGCGTGTTATTTTCTCTTTCCCTTGTGTTCCTCCAACTGGTTTGTGTAGGATGAGAAATCTCCCAAAACATGAGAGTAGTTTCTTTAGATTTACGTTATTGAAACATTAAGACACGGGGGAGGGGGAGAGGAATGACGGGTTTCTTACGGAGAGAAGAGAGCGTTATCCTGTCAATCTTAATGTATTACACAAAAACCTGAACTATCTACAAAATAATTCTTTTGACTTCTCCAGAATAAATCCAACAAAAGCCTCCTTCCCAAACATAGTTAACTGAAGAGCAAAGTGGTATCAGAAATGTTTTTAAAAGAGTATTGATTTCATACTAGTTCAATGTTTTGAATAATGCCACAACAGATCCGACAGTACAAATTTTGAAGTTTAGGTAAATCTTAAAATTTTAGGTCTACATTTAGGCTATAATTATATACTCTTTTAATGGTAGTCAAACATATCATCCAAACCAAATGGTAGTTATTTCCCAGGTCTTCCCAGATTACCACACCCACCAAATCCTAAATTGAAAGGGATAAACTTTCCTCTGTTCCTATTTAGATCTTTTAAAACCTTTAAATTTGCACACACATACATATGTACCTGTGAGAAAAGTAAGTCAGAGGCTTTAGCCTTCCAAAATTGTTCCAAATTTGGGCCAGTTTTGAAGTTTGGCCCGGAAAGCAAAGTAAAAACACGATTCCAGCACAAGGTTGACTTTGTCTCTTGATTTGCACAGGGATTGAAATAGGGACCAAAGTAAGAGGGATACCAAATGCAGCACTATCAAGTAGCTGCAGTTCTCTAACTTCCTGCATCTATCACACACCACTGCAGAGAAACCTAAGTACTGGTCTTCTCCATAGTTTTTGGTGCTTTGAATCATTTTCCCTTTCATCTTTTATGTAAATATTCCGGTTGTCATCATGCACCTGCACATGGACACACTGATTTTCTTAAGAGAGAAATAATCAGGGCTAAAAAGGGTGTCCTCCGTGTCCTCTACATTAATATAAAGTCTTCTTTGAGGAGCATTTAACTATGTATTCCCACCAAACTTCCTGAGTCTTAAGCATAATTAAGCCTCTAGCTCTGGTTTTGGTGCTGTTTTGATCCTGCTTTATATCACTGCACAGAGGCACATGTCAAATATCAAGCTACCATAGACTGAATTGCCTTAATTTGATTTCTTTAATGATATACAGGAAACTTGTATTCCTTCCAAGGTTGCTTCTAGACCGAAAACTCCAGTTTCCAAACTCTATTTCCATTTTCACTGCATATAAACCTCGCAGTGATTTCCTGTACACCGTGACAGTTTCAGTAATCATTATGCAGGTTCTTTACAGATCACTGCGTCCACATGGCACCGCTGGGAATTGCCTAAGTCACACTTCATCTCCTACACCAAATTCATTTGGAGAATCCAGTTAAACATTGGGCACTTCCTTGTGTATAAATATCACAGACAGTAAAATGAAAAGACATGCTGGCAGAAATATTTCAGCTTTATATCATATATATTTATAAAGCACCTACTGGATACATGCAAGAAACTTTTCACCTACCCAGTAGATGTTTGTTGTATTCACTTCTACAAAAATAGAATATTCTTATCTACAAATATTTGGGTATTTATCAGGCTGACAAAATTTCAGATCCATTGTTATGTGAATATATTCACATCATTGCTCTGGTTTTGAGACCTATGTTTTAGATAGATATGAAGGGTAAGAATGCAACTTGGAGAATAGGCCAAAAGCGGTTGTTCTCTTAGGCTTATAAATACTTAATATATAATATATTCAGGAGCAGTGAGGCTGGAATTTGATTTCTCTATGCTCTTTCCAGACACCATACTTCCCAGGTGTGTCCAGATGTTCTAAGTCAGGGAATTAATTATATGTAGGATAACTAGCCCCTTCCTTACAGGAGCATTGTAGGTGACAGTACAGTAGAAAGTTTCCTAGCTAGCTTCCCCTTAACAATAACAGATACCAGTTGTTGCTGGTGTAGTATACAACATGCAGGGGGATGCCATAGCGTGATACATGTTCGTGACCAGGGCTGTGTGCACTTACACACTTATGTCCCCATTGGGTGAGTTATGGGCCCCATGAGAATCCACTGAACTTGTTCCCAACCCGATTATACCTATTTCAAACTGTCCTCACGAAATTTAATTAAGCATTATTCAATTGATTATTAAATTGATAAAACATGAGGATGACTGCAAAAGAAAGATGTTCCAGTGAAAATAAAGCTAAATATTTTGAAAGAATGCATGAAGGTGAGGCATTGAAAAAAACTCTGTCAAATCAGCTGAGGGAATTACTATTGGAGAAGATCGAGAAGAAAGCATTCCAATCTAGAAGAATTTACTTGTCAAGTATCTATCAGTACTCACTTTGCTTTAAGGAAATTACAACTGAACATTGCAGATAAAGTGGAATGTGAGAAAGAAACAGAAAACTCTATAAACAGTGGACCTACACTGTAAGATCAAGGCCCTACAGCCAAATACTGTCCCCCAAACTCCAAACCAATAAAAATAAATCTTGTTATTTACATATTCTAAGTTAAATATTTAAAATATATATGTGAGTGTATAATTCCCTTGTTAATATATCATCTTCACATTTTTCTTATATTTACAAGTACTTAAAATCAGAAACTAAATTTTACAATAAATATTGAAAAGCAGTCAATGGAGATTTTACATTTTGAATAAAAATACAATTTATTAAATTTAATCTCTCTCATAGTAATTCTACACCCTTTATATCCCTGCACTGATCCTTTGAGTGAGTCATATTGGTTGTTGCTTTTTTGATGTGTATTGAAGTATTTTTTTTCCATTTGACTTTTGTAACTTAGTCATGCCTATCATTTTTGCAAAAAATATTTGAAGAGTTCATTCATTTCCCCAAGGTCCTCCTATAATATTCCACTACTTTCTTTGGGTTAGTGTCCTCGTTCATTTTTTCTTCTTTTGTGGTTCACTGTTCCAACTCTGCTGAATCCTGCAACGGGAAGGATTTGCAGGTGACCTGAGTAGTTCGGTATTTCTTGCATCAGTGTCATCTACTTCTGCATCTTGTGCAACATTTACACCTTCACTTTGCATTATTTTGGGGTCAAAGCTGCTAAGAAGGTATGCAAAATTGGCATCCATGTGAGTGCTGTCCAGTAAAATACAATGCAAGCCACAAATGCCAGCCACATATATAATTTTTAATTTTTAGTAGTCACATTTAAAAACAGGTAAAATTAATTTCAATGATATATTTTATTTTGACAGCATATTCAAAGTATTTTAATATATAATCAATATATAAAATATTACTAATAAGATATTTTATCTTTTTGTACTAGATTTTAAAAATATGGAGTGTGTTTTACATTTATTAAACATTTCAAACATCTTAATTCAAGACTTGCCAGATTTGAAGTGAGCTAAAGCCACCAACAGTTGGCAGATACTGTGTTGGATAGCACAATCCTACAGATGTAGTACTTATGACATACAAATTTATGGATTGTGAAATGCCTGATTAGGTTATCTTGGTGTATGATTAAAAATATCTACATAAATGTGTTCAAGAAAGAGAGAAGAAAGAATCAACTTAAAGAACAAATTTAATGGAATTTAATTTAATTATCAAAATTAAATTTTAATTATCAAAATTAAATTATCAATTTAATTATCAAATGTTTAAATATTGAAATAAGCACATTTTAAAAACATCTGATAAATTTAACTTAAATGTTATTAGATATTTTATTAAA